AGACATTTTATAGCTAGAACAATAGAAAGGCGCGCCATCGATATATGCCGCGTCTCCGACCACACGTACCAAATCTAAGTACAGTCATTCATTTAACCTCAATTCGCCAACATAAAGAACTGGCACGACTTAACATTTGTATATAAAGTTACAAGGATATCATTTGACCTAATTAGAAGTAGCAGCGTGTCAACTCCACATTCTGGTTGATTGGAAATAATGGGTAACTGGAGTTCCGTTGAACTGATCGTTAGTGTTCTGTTCATCGTTATAATCTCTTGAACTGAGAGTAGATCATGGTTCTATCTTCTTCAATCTCACTAACTATTGATTTTTTATAAGCCGTTTTCTTGATGAGTCGGTATAGTTGTCCAGTATTACCTATCACAATTGTCTTTTCCATCTATCTTGCTTTCATTAGCGATTCCTCCTTACGATCATTAGTTTTCGTTTAATTTGTCTTCCCTCTTCATTTTTCTCAAAATCCGATAAACTCGTGCGCAGTCATTAATCAAGTAGGAGTTTCGTAAATCCAATCACCTTTCCTAATCTTTCGATTGTGACTGATATCATATCTGCATTTAAATCTGTTTGAGTATCGTTTCAAGCTTCTTTGAGATGAACCTTTTTCCTATAATCGACTAAATGCCTAGTTAATTTTCCCTTCACTCCATTATCAAACGTTTCGCTGGTGTTCAATCGCATAAATAGCAAGCACTCGAAAATGAACAATGTTTATATTTGGTAGAGTGCCATTGAGCAGAACTTTACTCATAATCAGGTGTTGAAATCCCGCTGCACATATCAGAAGTCTACACTGATCTAATGTGACTTGCCAGTTCACTTCACAGAAAGCAAAGCACTGTGTTAAAAAGGTTTCCTTCAAACGAAAACTTTCGGAAAGCTGTCTCGTAAATTATCATTTAATATTGGCACCCGCCAGTAATATAAAATCTCGTTTTTGTTTCGTGTCAGTGATTCGATTTCACCTTCACAAATAATCCTGACGCTAATCTTTTACGTAAATATCTGTAACTAATGTAAGGGATGTGTCGCGCGTACAGTACAAGTACAGGCGACCTTTGTCAGTTTTCTAAACATTTTAGTATATGGTGAATTTCGAATAAATAGACTAGTAACTGATAATAGCGTAGTGCATCTCGCGTATCGATCAAACCATAATGAAATTAACCTTGCTTGAAAATATCTCAAGCAAATAAACCACAAATCCGTAAGTGTTTGTCTTCGTAGAGAATTTAATGCAGAATTTGTCTAATTTTTCCTCGTAAATTTGGCTAGTGTCTCCATAGGTACCTTATGTGAAGGAACAAATACCGAAATGCATAAATGGTCTTTGAATACCTATCGATACTGTTGTTGTGTAAGAAAATCGATTATTAGAATGAAGTCACACTCAGATTATTTATTTATTACCAATGTCCGCTTTTCTCATTTAACAGTTCGGTATGAAAGTGTTTTGTTGTGAAACGAAAAAGTGATTGGGATGTTGAGTTTTCAAAAGTTTTAGGACTTCGAATTGTGTTTCTATGCGATCGAATTATTGCATTACATATTTCTTACGATCAATAGGTAATTGCTACATTTGTCATATTCATTATTATAGGCTAAGCTTTTGGAGAATTCAGCGAAAGGAGATCAAGATTGTGTTTTGTTGTTGGACTTGACGAGTCGATAGTTGACAGATTTTTATTAGCTATCAGTAATGCATTTGCCAGATGTATCGCAATACGATCTCGACCGTCAAATGAATCCAACAACAAAACACAATCTTGATCTCCTTTCGCTGAATTCTCCAAAAGCTTAGCCTATAATAATGAATATGACAAATGTAGCAATTACCTATTGATCGTAAGAAATATGTAATGCAATAATTCGATCGCATAGAAACACAATTCGAAGTCCTAAAACTTTTGAAAACTCAACATCCCAATCACTTTTCGTTTCACAACAAAACACTTTCATACCGAACTGTTAAATGAGAAAAGCGGACATTGGTAATAAATAAATAATCTGAGTGTGACTTCATTCTAATAATCGATTTTCTTACACAACAACAGTATCGATAGGTATTCAAAGACCATTTATGCATTTCGGTATTTGTTCCTTCACATAAGGTACCTATGGAGACACTAGCCAAATTTACGAGGAAAAATTAGACAAATTCTGCATTAAATTCTCTACGAAGACAAACACTTACGGATTTGTGGTTTATTTGCTTGAGATATTTTCAAGCAAGGTTAATTTCATTATGGTTTGATCGATACGCGAGATGCACTACGCTATTATCAGTTACTAGTCTATTTATTCGAAATTCACCATATACTAAAATGTTTAGAAAACTGACAAAGGTCGCCTGTACTTGTACTGTACGCGCGACACATCCCTTACATTAGTTACAGATATTTACGTAAAAGATTAGCGTCAGGATTATTTGTGAAGGTGAAATCGAATCACTGACACGAAACAAAAACGAGATTTTATATTACTGGCGGGTGCCAATATTAAATGATAATTTACGAGACAGCTTTCCGAAAGTTTTCGTTTGAAGGAAACCTTTTTAACACAGTGCTTTGCTTTCTGTGAAGTGAACTGGCAAATCACATTAGATCAGTGTAGACTTCTGATATGTGCAGCGGGATTTCAACACCTGATTATGAGTAAAGTTCTGCTCAATGGCACTCTACCAAATATAAACATTGTTCATTTTCGAGTGCTTGCTATTTATGCGATTGAACACCAGCGAAACGTTTGATAATGGAGTGAAGGGAAAATTAACTAGGCATTTAGTCGATTATAGGAAAAAGGTTCATCTCAAAGAAGCTTGAAACGATACTCAAACAGATTTAAATGCAGATATGATATCAGTCACAATCGAAAGATTAGGAAAGGTGATTGGATTTACGAAACTCCTACTTGATTAATGACTGCGCACGAGTTTATCGGATTTTGAGAAAAATGAAGAGGGAAGACAAATTAAACGAAAACTAATGATCGTAAGGAGGAATCGCTAATGAAAGCAAGATAGATGGAAAAGACAATTGTGATAGGTAATACTGGACAACTATACCGACTCATCAAGAAAACGGCTTATAAAAAATCAATAGTTAGTGAGATTGAAGAAGATAGAACCATGATCTACTCTCAGTTCAAGAGATTATAACGATGAACAGAACACTAACGATCAGTTCAACGGAACTCCAGTTACCCATTATTTCCAATCAACCAGAATGTGGAGTTGACACGTGCTGCGACTTCTAATTAGGTCAAATGATATCCGTGTAGCTGTATATACGACAAGGACATCTATAAAGAGGTCAAATTTAAAGGTTAAGGTAGATCAATGAATTTCGGCTGCGTTTTATGAATTGATAGAAAGTCGAAAATTTATCTTGTAGGACTTAGAAAACGATGAAGAGCGACGACTCACACGTATTGTTGCAAAAGGTGTATGATCTTCAGCAATGGTGGGCAGTCAATATGAAAGATGGAAAAGGCATCGGTGATAGGTAGCAATAAATAGCTTGATCGACTCATCAAGGAAACAGGCATTAAATACACTTGTTAGGTTCTAGACAATCTATAAGGAGGGATAGCAGTGGATTCAAATAGATAAACACCACATTTTTAATCCATCTGTTTCAGTTCCGATGAAAGAACTAAAATCGCCTTGTGATAATGAGAGGAAGTGTGGCCTATATAGTGTCAACAATACTAAGATCTACAACCATTCGACGCCAATCCAGAAAAACCAGTTTGGTTCCATGCCAGGTCATGGATGCATTGACCAAATATTCACTCTTCGTTATATCTTAGAACATACGCATACTTACCGACGCTTGATATTTAGGTAGCTTTTGATTCGGTTTTCAGGTTTTGTGGTCTTGTTTGTGATTGAAAAGTGTATTAAAGAAGGATATGTCTTGTGGAGATTATTTACCAAGACATTATCAGTTAAGTTAGAACTTAAGACAAACTGTCAATCTCAAGTGCAGTTCATTAGTGACTGCCCACTATCTCCATTTTTATTTAACTTCGTAATTGATGTCCTTCGAAAACTAAAGCAATCCTGGCACTATCAAGTGCGTAATTTCAAGGTTAGGCATAGGACACTAGGCAAAGGTGGCAAATCAGTTGACAAGGTGAACTTGTATCAATTGAGGTGGTTACGACATGCATCATCTAAGCCTATTCACCGATTAACTTGACAGGTCCTTTTTGATTTAGGAGTAGGTTGGAAGAAAGTTGGGAGCTATCAGATCTTGACTGGAATCGATCCATAAAGTCACTGATTGTTGGTCGAACCCATGATGGTAAATGAAAGCAACTTGGCCGGGGGCCATGTAATAACTGCGATCAGTGGCTGGAAACTTCGGGTGACATGACTTATAATCATTCACAGTGGCAAAGATGTACTTTTTATCTTTCTATCGATATTAAATTTCAGTACACCTTCATATATACCTCTCTACTATGCCTTTTTGGACCGTTTTCTCAATGGTTAGTCCTTTTCATTGTCAGTTCTATATTATTACAGTCTCATTTCTCATACACCTTGCTAATTTCATCGCTTTGTGCTAATGTGGTATGGCGACATGGGCCAACGAACAACTATGCCAAGCTCCACGTTGATAATGTACGACAGACTGTCATATCTTCATTTGAGTGCCACTAAACCTGCTACTTATTTTCATGCGAGCCAGTACAGTATATTGGAGAAGGTAGTAATTACACAAGCCCAACGGATATTTAATCGCTGTGTTTTGCAAAGACTCACTATGTGATCGACAACTTCACAGTCTCTGGCTAGTACCGTACGCCCAACCCAAGAACTGACTGATAACTCAATGGTTGCACGTACTACACAGATAATATTACTCAATGCATTTAGAAACTGCAACTTGAAGTGTTCAATCAAAATTTCTTTGAATTTAATATTAGTATGGTCTTGTAAGTAAACATACCACAGCAAATTAACTCACCTCAGCAGATGTGAACTTAATTGATCCATATACGGGTACTAAGACCTCTCGACAAGATCGTTTAAATTTACGTAGGTGAGAGTTGTCTACACGTGGACTTGATGATACCGATTTTTCTCTTAACTTGCGAACATTCAGTTGATGCTCTTCTGACTCCAAATGTTTCAGTTTCATTGAACTGAATATTACAAATTGACAAATATTGCACTGATAAAAAACAGAAGTTGAGCTTTCGTCACTTGATGGTGACATCTAAAATGCATTGAGAAACTGCATACTGTGAAAGATATCCATTAAAAATTAGGAATATTATTGGTGTGAATAATTTTTCAGAAAAAACGCTGTTGAGTGAATGATGCAGTTAGAAGTAAATAGGTGACAAAACATCCAGATATATGAACAAACTTTAGTGACTCCAGTTAGATCGTATGCTGATTACTACCGAAATATGTATCCAGCGACCCGCGTACATAATGATCGCGTTAGTGAATAACGGAATTATATAAGTCAAATACGAGGATAGATTTTGAATGCATATACTTTATAAAACCGTTGATCCAGATAGACGACCAGAGAATCGAAGCGAAGAGAAAAGAGCGGAACGAAACGACATGACTCGCAGTGAGCCAGCTCAATTTTATAAAGCTTTACTCAATATTTATATTCAGACAACAATTAATTACAGACAAGTAATGAATAGGATAAGTAATTAACACACATACGACCATATCAAAACAGTCATGGTTGATAAGTGAATAATTGACAAGCTCAAAATGTGGCTTGAGATGAATGAATAAATTGGTCTATCCAGAAGCTAAAATAACCTATGTGGGTTTGATAAAGTACAGTAACTAAAAAACAGAGTGCTGATAGCGAAGCAGATAAGATAAAGAGCGAACACGCTAGCTAACAAAAATAAGTAAGCGTTTCAACCAGAGTACAGAACTATGGTGATATTAAGATTTATTAACTTAGTCACATTAATGCCCACTAATACGAGGTGGATTTATTTGCTTAAGTCCCGTTAACTAGTTATTACCAATATTTTTTATTTATTTGAACACAAATATTGGTACAAAGGGGAACCGAATACATATGCACAAGTCATCAGTCAGCTACAATGTAGGACCAGGCACATATATGCATCGGTACAAGTTGCCATACCTCATTAGCACAACAAAATGAACACCAAATTCATAGAAGTAGTGGTGGTAATATATAAAAAAAGATTGCATATAAGGACGGTACATGAAGTTAGTTCGTAGAAAGAAAGATATAAAGCGATTTTAATCTCATACTTTAAGGGAAGACAGAGTGTATACACATACGCTATTGTGATCGATTCTGAGCCACGTCACCCAAAGTCTCCAACCATTGGTTACGATAGTCACGCGGACCCCACCAAGTAGTCTGAATCTACCAACATGGCTCAGACTAGAAGTTAGTGACTTCAAGCACTGATGCCACGTTTTGGTTTGGCCGCCCCTAACTTTCTTCCAACCATCCCGAACACCGGTTAGCATTGAGCGTCGTGGTAATCGGTGTTCAGGCATACGCAACGCGTGACCCAACCATCTCAGTCGATGAAGATTCATAACCTCATTAACTGATTTACCATCATTCCCTAATACCCTGCGTCTAACCTCACTATTACTTACCCGGTGATCCCAGCAGATGCGAGCAATATTCCTAAGGCATCTGTGATCAAGTACTAGTGACTTACGAATGTCTTCTACTCTTAATAGCCATGTTTCGCTGCCGTAAATTAAAACAGAATGAACTGCTGCGCATTATATTCGTCTCTTAATTGATAGACGGATATCTCGCCTTTTCATAGGTGACGTAAGTTGGCAAAAGCCAAACGAGCTTTTCGAATCCGTGCTGAGATTTCGTCAGACACCAACCCATTAGGGCTGATCAGACTTCCAAGATAAGTGAAGTTGTCAACGCGTTCGACTACTTCACTCCCTATCCTTAGTTCAGGTGTTGACGCAGACCAGTCCTGAAGCAACAACTTGCATTTAGAGGGAGAGAAGCGCATTCCAAACATTCTGGCATTGTTGCTTAGTGCTACCAGAAGACTCTGCATTTTGTCAGCGTCTTCACCAAACAGGACTATGTCATCTGCGTATTCTAAGTCGATAAGTGGACCTCCTGGAAGGAGATCAATACCCGAGAATTCAGTCGACGAGAATGTTATTTCCATCAATAGGTCTATGATGAAGTTAAACAAAAATGGAGAAAGTGGGCAGCCTTGACGGACACCACTTGAGGTTGCAAAAGTAGATGACAGTTCGCCATAAGCCCTGACTCGACTAGTAGTGTTCGAGTAAAGAGCCTTCACAAGGTTTATGTACTTCTGAGGTACGCCTTTCAATGACAGACACTGCCACAGAATCTCGCGGTCTACAGAGTCAAATGCTGCTTTTAAGTCAAGAAAGACCACCATTGTCGGACGCCGATAAGTATGCCTGTGTTCTAGAACCTGACGAATGGTGAATATGTGGTCGATGCAGCCACGACCAGGTCTGAAGCCAGCTTGGTTCTCTCGTGTTTGCAGTTCACGAGTCTTAGTTAAGAGTATTTTAGATACTATATTAGTTAAACTAATCCCTCTGTGGTTGTCACAGGATGATTTTGACCCTTTCTTATATATTGGGACGATAAGTGATTGTGACCAGTCAGATGGGATAACGTCTAACTCCCAGATCTTAGCTAAAATATTAGTCAACCTAATCGCTAAAATTGGACCACCATCCTTAAAGACCTCTGGAGCCAATCCATCTGCTCTTCCTCGTTTCAGATTAACTATAGCCTTTTGAACTTCAGCAAGAGTTGGGGGACCTACTTCAATGTTCCATTCACACTGTCTGGGAATGGAGGGTAGTTGTAGAGTAGCTGAAGGCCAGCTGAACTGTTCTCTGAAATGTTCCGCCCATCGTTCTAAACGTCTGGACTGGGAGCAGATGAGGGTATCGTCTTTTTCCGAAATAATCTCACTTACACTTGACTTATTAATTCCAGTTTCTTTTATTAGTCTGTAAAGCTGTCTTGTGTTCCCTATAGTCGCCGCCTTTTCCATCTCTTTTGCTTTCGTTGCCCACCACTGCTCACGGTCGTTCCTTAGACTTTTTCTTAACCTAGATCTGATTTGTTGTCGCTCTTCATCATGTTCAGAACCTGATGGGACGAGTTTGCGAGAATCCATCAGTGCAATAGACCTTGAAGAAATCCACTGGTTCTTTGTAACTCTGTGGTTTAAGTCACTAATAGATGTCACTGCTGTTTCCACAGCTGCTTGTATGTCTTTCCAAGCAACATCTGGGTCAGCCTCGTCTTCACAACTACCTAAGTGTGACCTCAGTTGTTCCTGGAACCTACTTTTGGTTTTCTCGTTACTCAACTCAGTTCTAATGGGTCTTTTTAATGTGGCTTTTTTGCGTCCAGTGAGGCGCAAGCAGATGCGTGCCCGTATTAGGGCATGGTCGGAGTCCAAGCAGGTACTCCAGAATGAGCGACAATCTTCTACCGACCCTCTCCAACGATGACTGATGGCAATATGGTCTATTTGAGTCCATCGTTGGTTTGGTGTAGGGGGTCGCCATGTTAGACGATGTCTCTCCTTATGCTTAAAATTTGTGTTTGCTAAAAATAAACGATTGTCTGAGCACAGTTGCAGCAGACGATCACCATTATCTGTTCGCTGTGCCGGAATACTAAAATATCCACCTAAATGCCTTTCTGTTTGGTTTAAACTACCTATCTGAGCATTAAAGTCACCTGCTACGAGTACTATGTCTGAGCGTTTAGCTTTCTGAAGAAGTTCAGATAGCTTTCTGTAAAATTCATCTTTCACTTCATCTGAGCTGCAGTCAGTGGGAGCGTAGGCAGAAACGACAAAAAGGCAACGACGTGTGTCCCTATCCTTCCGAGTTCTTACGTAGCCGTTTAGCCGAACAGCACATAGACGACTGTTGACGGGGATCCACTCTAGCAGTGCTTGTTCGGCCCTCATGCTTAGTGCTATGCCTACACCTGCCAGTCCACGAGAACTGGCCATCGGGTCACCAGATACACGAAGGGTGTATCTCGTTGGCTCTCCGTTTTGCCGAGGTGAGGTCAAGTGAATGACCACACTGGAATCCTGTATGCGTGTTTCGGAGACACAGCATACATCAATGGAAAGAGACTCTAGGGTTTTAGCCAAGGAAGCCTGCTGACCGATTTGACATAGGGTGCGTACGTTGAAGGCTCCAATGTGTAGTTTGGAGCGAGGTTTCAGTAGACCTGGGACAGTGTTTTGAGCACTAGAATCGTTGGCTATGGTGACACTTGAGGAAAGCCGAAAAAGGAAGTTTAGAGGTGAAAGTCGATGTAGGAGGAATAATAGGAATTGAAGAGAGAGGTTGATTATGAATACAGTGGTCTTGAGTGCTGTTACGGGTATGAGGGCGGTTATCACTTCCCGGTTGCCCACACCGTGGAAGGGTATTTCTGGAGGTACCTGAAAAGGAAATTGGATTAGAGGTGGTCTTAACGACCTGGAAGCGTGACCGCAGTGCCCAAGGGACAACTGCTTGAGGTCGGTCACACACGACCTTTTTATGGGTAATTTTTGTGTTAGCTCCGTACTTGTTGGCACCTTACCGCCGGAGACGGATATCCGTGGGATAAGGTGAGGTGTTCACTTTTAGGGATGACCCTTTATAACCTCGCCCTTCCTTTGTGGGAATGCAGCATTGCTGTTATGCTGGTTCTCTGACGGAAACGCCTTACTGCCGTCACATCTCTGTGCAGTCAGCAGTACGACTTCGCCCTCTGACCTTGGATTTGTTGCTTTTAGTCTTGTCGCTCTTCAACCGACCTGTCTGACACGGTAGGACCTTGAGAAACGATTGTTCCAGTATAGCTCTATTGGTTCATCACAATAGACAAGCCCGACCACCACGTCAAGGTAGCAACAACGGTCGGGACACAAGTCATTTTATTATTTATTTAAACACATGAACATTGGTACAAGACGGCACCAAATACATATGCGCCACATAAATCATTAGATTTGTGTGAGGGCTGTGATACTGTCCGTGTGCCCAGACCGAAGCAGGTGGTATTCTTAGTGGCCCACACCCGGAGCCTTCGACTCAAAGGTCTGATTTACAGGGCAATGGAGCAACGTCAGGAGATGCAGTCCCATGGTAGCCGGTGATCAACGATTGATTCATACGCCATTCGTTCCTTCAGGATACTGGAGCCTATGCACACCACTGATTTGGAATCAGGGTTTCTCAACTGCCTTAGGTGGACTCACAGTGTCCACCAACCCGGTTAAAGCGCCGGACTTTCACTTTTTGTCCTCTTAATTTCGTAAACAACACTCCAGCCACGAGAAGGCAGTGAGTAGGACTTGCCTGGCAGAGGCTGTATACGCGTGGCCGTATGAGAGCAGTTCGAGAGGGATGGGGGGCTCTTCCCACTCTCGGCCGAACCAGGGCATATATATATATATATAAACTGTGGTTCCGATTCCAGTATACGAACTTGTACTTCAGTTAGTTACAACTAACGTAAAATCTCGTGTAGATATCAGTTGCTCTAAGTTGTCACAATTCAGATCAGCATAGGGAGATGAAATCAACGAGGTCAATAGCCCAAAGAACCACAGTGATATAAACAATCAGTGAAAATTTGTCACTTAAAAATCCGAACTAACGATATTATAAAACTTCACTGTTCGATTCCAGTGAATTTATAACCGTGCATTAATCCACCACTGTAAGTCCATGATATAAGATAGTGCTTTCTAATTTATTCAGTTTTTTATGAACCACCAAATTCTAAACGTTGATTTGTCAACATGAGTAATAAATCAATTAACAAATTTACGGATTTCGCAGCAATAATCGGAGGAAGAATAGGTTAAAAATCTATGGGTGGTAGTATCAAGACATGGAATTAATCTCCTGAATGTCGGTTTAGGTTGTACATAGACGTAGACTCTCCAAAACTGTCACGCGTAATACCCATAATCTGTGGTAGGAGATGGGTTCCATAGATCACAACTGAACTCACTATATATTTTCCTCTTGAACCATAGTTTTTAATTTTCCACTTAATGTATCAATTCTTCTCCTATGCTTGTCATTTCCTATCTAGTTGTGGTGTGGGGTATTGGGAGTCAAAACCGAGATACATTTTAAATTCTTTTACTAACTTAGAGAATTTATTTATTTATTGGTGTATAATTGGTTTTATTCATACCCAAAACAGAAAAGATACAAACGAATAAAAACAAGTTGTGCCATATCTTACTGCTGTATCGCTTGAAGACAGACTAGAAACTGAATTAAGGTTTATTTTACTTTGATGTTTGCGACCACGAAGGTGAGAAGTATATTGATCTGAAGAATTCATATGTATACCACATAAGTTGCAGGTAAAGGAAATTTCGGAAGCTGAAGATAACTGGTTTGACTTTGTCCAATTTGAACTAGAATCAATGAAACCTACATATGAAGAGGATTCTTGATCACAGATTGGATTTCTCATTGGCCCTGTAGAATAAGAGGTGGTATCTAAGAATGAATCTTTTGGTGAGCCCGAGTCAGGAGTAACTAGTGTTGGTAAGGAAACTTTTAGGGGATAATTAATATGATCCACTATGTTTAAACTATCTAAAGCAAGACATTTAGAGCGATGTTTTCTCCCCGTTTCGTGAGCTCGTAGGACATTCTCAGTGTCACACCATATATTGCAAACACTACACGAAAATCGATGAGGATTCATCTAAAGAATAATACAAAATCTGGAATTAGTAGCAGTTAGTAAACTGTATGTATGCTTATAAAACAAAATCATTTAAAATGTTATTTTACTTACAATCATTAAAAAACGGTCAAGGTTGACAGTGAATGAACGACAATGTCATAACATGTGTGGATAATGACTCAAAAGAAACAAACTAATTGGTCTGTTAAAAAGCCAGAATAATCCATGCAGGTATGACGTAGTACTGAATGCTATACTTTTTACCCTTCAGTTTTCAAGAAGAACTGCTTAAACTAGGATCATATACACTGAATTTTACTACAGTTGAATGCTTGAAGTGGTTATTTTTTCCAGAACCCAAGTAACGGTTTGTGAATTTGTTGGAAAAAAACTATTTGTCCCCAACACTACAAAACCTAGTCGACCAACTCGTTTACGTCTAGATTATTTTGATATTGTTGGAGTTAAAAATAACTGACCAAGACTACTTATTTTTATCGATCATAGTCATCCGTAGTACTTTCGTACAGTTATGTCACTCACTATGTCTACTTATATGTCGCAAGAATTTCAAATGAGAGTAGAGATGAAAACTAAATTTAAACATTAACTTGCTGAAAATGTGCGATAATTACAAAAGAGCCAAGTAAATAAATTTTATTATAGATCATCTTGTGTAACTGCACTGAAGTGACTAGTGTAATATCACGTAACATATATATGTTAACCATGGCGTATGAGTCAGTTACCTTATTGAAAATAGAAAAGATGAGAAAAACTGAAGAGGACTTTATTTACTCTGTGACATTTAAATGTAATTTGTATTCCAATGTTGATATCATAGTAGTTAGTTTTGGATAATTTAATGAAGCCACGAACAATTGAACTAGGTCATATACGTAAGTTTAGACTGCCCATTTCAAATTTACACGAAGACAGCTCTGAGTGACGTGAATGAGAGTAACTTACATTTTATCTCTCCTTAGATCATTCGAACCGAAAACCCTCTACACTTTTTTGTTTCTTCCTTCTGTACCTAATATATTATACTGCTGCTGATATTAATTCTACTACTCTGGGATGTTGCAACATAGTAGCTATACACAGAGTGCTATTCCACAGGACTTTTTGCAATACATAGAGAAATAGTCTTTAGCTGCTGAAAATCGAATTCTAACGGAAATAAGCTTTTAGACACTTTTTATCCCTTGATTTATTACTTTACTACAGAGACTACGTAAGACAATACTTTATCCACTGATTCGCAAATAGCTAACACTCCAATAATCTTTTTACCAAGTGCTACCATAGTCTTCCCACTAGAAACTTGGTTAGTCCTAATCCGCAGTAGACTAAGGTTGCGAAAGAAAGCTACAGAGCTTTAAAGAAGATTAGAGAACCGACTCGAGTATTAGCCGAAAGTGGACTATGCTTTTTAAGAACAGGAATATAGTCGAGTAACGTAACTTTTTTCAGAGAAAGGTAAAGATTGTCCTCCGTTTGTAAAATTTGCTGTCCATTGAGAAACAAAAAGGCTCACTGAAATTTCGCTGTTTTTGACGCTTTAAAAAACATGGTATTTTGAAGTAAAGGTTAGGCAAAGATATGTACAGATAGATTATAGCTCAAAAATAACCGTTGATAAGAAAGCGCAGACCATATTAAGCTTCCCACTTGCATTAAATACAAAAGCACATGTCATTATGGACCTCTACCGTAATTTGTGAAGCGAATGCACCAAAATTAATTAGCAAAGCAGGGGCTATATTTAGTTATTTTTACGTTGCACTTCTAGATAAGAAAAACTAGACGAACAAGAAACAATAAAGAAGTTACTTCCTGAAGGTTCCAATACAGATAACATACTGAAGCAACAAGTACTCCGGGTAAAAGGCAATAGTAATAGACTAGATATCCCTCGGTTTATAAAATATAAAGTATGTAGCCGCCCTACCAACAATGGCACTTAGACTACCGATAAATCGTCCCACTTTGACGTTGAGAGAGATCAATTTTAAAAGCAGATCGGATTTCGAAATCGCCTATCGAATCCTAAAATCAATACATTCACAACCAATGTGGTTTTACAAAACATAAACCCACTTTCCGTACACTAATTTGTGAATAGAAAAATTTATTACTTTCATACCCGAAAAATTTGTCTTAGCAACTGAAAATCAAATAAATTGTATAAACCTCAGGTACATTGATTGAGACATAGCTAACGATTTGGTGGTGGCTACATCCACAGAACCTCTCCGTTAAAAAAACGTCGTGTTGCCATAAGGCCAGTGTGATTGAAACTCACAAGGAATGAAATAATCCGACAGTGCATCTACATCGAAGTCAGATACCGAATATGTTATCCCGAATTTGTTCTTCAACAGACCTACTTAAAGTTTCATATGATTATTCAGGTTAATATTTCAGGCAGTCAAACTGACTCGATTGTGGCCATAAGACGAGTAACTTCTGTGGCATCTTAATCAGCTTGAAGCACTTGAAAAGTACAAGTCTAAACAAAACTGAACAAAATGATGAACGGTGCGATTCAGAAAACTATGTGAACTGTACACCGTTGGATTAAGGTATATTGTACAGTTCTAAAAGTAAGCACTTTATACATTATCAAATCTAAATAAACAGCCCAACTGTTATACTTTGGATATATCCGAAATGTCCTCCAGAATCTTAAGTCGCAGAAAAAGGTGCAATATTTTATTACGGCTGTAAACAACCAGGATAAATTTTTATTCACTTGAAAACTGATATAACATTGAATTATACATCTGTAAGTCACATGCATTTATATATGGCAATATCAACAAACAATATTTGACAAAAGCTACTTCGTACTTTGTTTCACTAAGCTAAAAATATTAGAAGGAGAAAGAGGTGTTTAAATGGAGGGTGTAACTGCCTGCACGAGGTCACAACAACCTCTCTAATACCGCCCACTTTCGAAATACCGCACTTCGTAGAGGAATGGTTCAAACGGTTCAAATGGTTGTGGACGGAATAGAAGAGGCTTTCGCTTAACAGGCTTCCGTGTCTAGTAGCAGGGGATCACAAAATCCTCCAGGCAGGAACCTAGGTATGTTAACAATAAAAGAGGAAAAGAGATTGGTAAATCATAATGTGATGCTGTCCTTGGTCCTTAAGAATAGATCAAGTTGCCCTTGAAGGACTCCTGAGAAGTCGCTTGGACTAGCTCGGCTGGCAGCGAATTCCAGACTTTGACAACTCTTAAGGAGTAGACATTGTGTCTACATTCCGTAATTTTTCGGATTCCAATAATAAAGTACACTGTACAGAATTTTCAAGAAAAATCCTAAAAATCTTCAATTCATTGAGCCACATTTATTCGTTATTCACAGGAATTGAACACTCTAGATGATTGCCTATGCATCTAGATAAGCGTTTTAGTAACGACACTTCATATCTGGCGGTAAATGAACATATATCACTACAAGTAGCTACTATAAACGAGAATAAGCGTAGATAAAGATAGGTGCAAGACGGTTTCTAGGGTATTTGGGAAAATTATATGTTGTCTTCAAAAATGCCTGAGCTCTCATTGACTTCAGGTCACCAACATACGTGATGTCTGTTGAATGGTTGGGAGCCTAATCGAGTGAGAAGAGCAAGATGCAACTAACCAACTTACATCCAAGTCACGCTGCACGGCTAGTGCTTATTGCGCAATACTCTTTCATCAGAAAAAAAAGAAAGGGTATTGCGCAATAAGCAGGGTATTAGGAAATGATGGTAAATCAGTTAATGAGGTTATGAATCTTCATCGACTGAGATGGTTGGGTCACGCGTTGCGTATGCCTGAACACCGATTACCACGACGCTCAATGCTAACCGGTGTTCGGGATGGTTGGAAGAAAGTTGGGGGCGGCCAAACCAAAACGTGGCATCAGTGCTTGAAGTCACTAATTCTAGTCTGAGCCATGTTGGTAGATGCAGACTACTTGGTTGGATCCGCGTGACTCGTAACCAGTGGTTGGAGACTTTGGGTGACGTGGCTCAGAATCGATCACAATAGCGTATGTGTATACACTCTCTGTCTTCCCTTAAAGTATGAGATTAAAATCGCTTCCATATCTTTCTTTCTACGAACCAATTCTTTCTTCTTGTACTATATTTTTATATGCAATCTTTCTCTTATATATTACCACCTTTGACCTAACCACTCCTATGAATCCGGTGTTCATCTTGTTGTGCTGGTCCTACGTTGTAGCTGACTGACTGACTGAATACCCTTTCATCATATCCGTGTACTATGGCCATTTTAAGGACCGCGCAACACTAAGCACGTTATCACGAAAATGTAATAAATAGAGTGGCTACACGAAAAACAGTTAGCCACCACTAACACACAGATCAGTCCGTGACATGCAATTAATTTGTGGCGAGGATTCCAGTCGTAATTGACTATAAACACCACTACAAAGGAACGAGTGCCAGGATATCCATAAAATCCCCCGGAAGCGAAATATCAAAAGTCATTAAATGGACCAAGTCGATATATATTTGCTGGCGTTCTCGTGGTATCGAAAGAATACCGAGACCGTGCCAGGATACAAGCTTAGATACAGAACGTAACCGGATTTGCGCGAGGACACAACCGAAGCACGTTAAACAAGAGAA